TGTTGTTAAGTGCTATCGAGTCAGTTCTGACCCATAGCGACCCTGGATAGGGTTTTCAAGGAGCAGCTTGTGAGCTTGAACCGTCAACCTTGCAGTTCAAATGGCTTTTCAGTGTGGCACATTAACCCACAGCACCATACCAGGACTCCACTTGATTCATCATTCATTCATTACTTAGTAATGAATCAACCCAAATAAGTAAAACATGTATACAAAAAAAACTACAAAATATTATTACAAGAAACCAACAGAGACCTACATAAATGCAAGAACATACCATGCTCATAGATAGGAAGACTTAATTATGTCAATACTACCCAAAGCAATCTACAGACATAATGCAATTTTGATCTAGATTCCATCATCATTCTTTAAAGAGATGAAAAATAATCACTTAGTTTATATGGAAAGAAAAGACCCCAGCAAATCAAAACATTGCTAAAGAAGAATAAAGTATGAGGTCTCTCACTTCCCTTTCTCAAACACAGCCATATCTTTTTCTGGTTCTGGTACAACAATATTTACATACAATAATGGAACAGAATTAAGAACCCAAGAGTAAATCCATTCACCTATGAATAGCTGATCTTTGAAAAAGGGTCAAATTGTATTAAGTGGGGGAACAGATAGTCTCTTTAACAAATGGTGTTGGCAAAATTAGGTTAACAATTTGCATAAAAATGAAATAGAATCCTCATCTCTCATTATATAGGAAAACTAATTCATAATGTGTCAAAGACTTAAATGTAAAACCTAATACCATAAAGATTATCAAAGGAAAAAATAGAAGAAATCTTAGGGGTTCTAGTACTTGGCATGGGTTCCTGGTGTGGTACTGTAGGATCAGCACTGGACTGCGAACCACAAGTTTGGCAGTTCAAACCCACTAGTAGCTCTTTGGAAATCTTATACAGGGTTGCTATGAGTCAGAACTGACTCAAGGGCACTTAAAGACAACAACAACATACATGGTGTAAGGACACTATCAAACATAACTAAAAACACACAAATAGAAGACAAACTAGATGACCTGTACCTCCTAAGAATTATGCATAAAAAGATTTCACAAAAAAAGTATAAAAAGAACCTACAGACTGGAAAAAAAAATATTGGAGCATGCTATATGGAGCAACATCAGCATGTCAAAAACAAAGAGACAAATAATCAAGTTAAAAATGGACAGCAGGCTTAACAGACACTTCACCAAAGAAGACTTTCAGGTGATTAATAAGCATATAAAGAAATGCTAGTACTCCTTAGCCATTGCTGTTGTTAAGCACTGTGGAGTTGGTTCCCACTCATCGCAACTCTGTAAAGGGTCTGTATAAGATTTCCAAAGCTTTATGTCTTTATGGGAGCAGAATGTCTCATCTTTCTCTCACAGAATGGCTGGTGGGCTCAAACTGCAGACCTCGTATGGCACCACTGTGCTCCCTTAGTAATTGGTAAGTGCAGTCCAGTGGATTCAGACTTCTAGCGATCTTGTATAGAGCTCTTGAAGAGCTGCTGCTGAGTTTGAACAGCCGACTTTGCGGTTCAAACTGCCCTTGAAGTTGAGTGCTTATTCTTGGGCGCCACACCAGGATTCCCCCTTAGTAATTGGAAAGATGAAAATCAAAACAACATTGAAGTAACACCTCACCCCAATATTAATAGCAAAGTTAAAACAAAACAAAAACCAGAAAGCAACAAATGCTGGCGAAGTTGTGGAGAGACTAAAACCCTCATACACTGCTGTTGGGACTGTAAAATGGTGCAATCACTGTGGAAAATGATACGATACTTTCTTGAAAAGCTGAAAATAGAAATAGCATATGATTCAGCAATCCCACTGCTAGGTACATATCTTAAAGAAATAAGAACCTTGACATTCACATATACATGTACGACCATGTTCATACAAGCATTATTCACAATAGCAAAAAGATGGAAACAACCTAAGTGCCCACCAATGGATGAATGGATACACAAATTACATGCACACACTGGAATACTATGAAATGTTAAAGAATAATGATGAATCTGTGAAATATCTCATAGCATGTGTAACTGGAGGCCATTAAGCTAAGTGAAATAAGGACAAAGAATGCTTCTGTGAGTATACTTTTTCTTGATCATTTAAAACTATCATAATGTAATACTACTATAAAAAGACCAAGAAAAAGTATACTCACAGAAACTTTCTTTGAAGGTTACCAGGTGTGGGAGGGAAAAGAAGGGTAAGTCACAACCAACTATAGGAGATCAAAAGGGCAGCGTTTGCCCAGAGACAAAGATCAGAAAGCAGGAAGGGATAGGAAAGATGCACAAATGGAAATGGTTAACACATTGTAGGTATTGCAGTCACTGTCAAAAATCAAAATGTGGCCCAGCCAGTGTCTATTTAAGAAGGTTTAACAAATGCCAATAACCCCAGCCCCAGGCCACTTTTCCTAGAGATACCTATGGCTTCTCAGTCCTCCTATTGATTGCTCACTCTTCTACATGTCTCCACAGAGCCAGTTCTCTACCTGGAGGAACATCCAGTTTGACCCTTAGAATTGAGTCTGCCCAATGTGTACTCATCACTAACCCCCTGAGGAGCTCTCTGTATATCCACGCTCCTCTTCCCTTTTAGGCTGGTGCTGCCACTTAGCAATAATCCTCTTTCCTCTGTCTGTGCTTTCTTAGTTCCCTGTCCTCAGTCTTTGAGGCTTCTCTCATGCTTTACAGAATGAGCATGCAAAAAGCTTCCGTCCCAGCAGAAACTTGTTTCCACCTGTCTCCACCAGTGCTGGAAAGGAATTTCAGGAGCAAGGAGTCAGCTTGTCCTGTCCCCATGCTGAGTTCTGTCCCTGACAATCAAATTCAGGTAGTGATTGTAGCACAGAGCTCTACCAAAGGAGGTTGGAAAGGGAGTCCAGGCTCCAGGTGAGTGGAACCTGGAGTGTGTCTGCTTGTGGGGAGAGTCAGAGATAGCTATAGTGTTACCTGGCACTTCTCTCTCAAACCTGGTAAAGTGTGTTGGCCCGAGTCCAGGCCCATGCTAGCCTGCATGCAATTGTTAATGAGAGCAATGCACTCTCTATAGGAGGAGTGAGCTGGGATTATTTATCTTTGTTTTTGTCGGTTTGCTTTGCCTTACTCATTTTTAAGTGCAATAAGGGAGTATCTCACAGGATTGCACCTGTAACACCCTGCTGGAGCCAGGGTGGACAGACCCAGATCCCTCAGGGTGGTTAGCTCTGACTTTCATTGAGGTCCCCTTACTCTCCTCACCTATGGAGTCTGTAGTATTGGATCTGAGACACTGTGACATTTCCCTTGGTTATTAGCATCCCAACTGCTGGTAGCATTTGTGTGACTAGGAAGTTGGAGAAGAGACATTCCTACTGGAGAAAAATGTTTTCCTACAAGCTGTTTTAGCTATTATATTTGTGCTTAAAGATTTACCTCTTCACTCTCTAGGTAAAATCCAGGTGTGTGTTATCCTGAGAGAAACAAACTGATTTTCTAAGCAGACAGTTGTGTGGTTTGAGGATTAGCAGATAGCTTCTTCCTTGGCATCTTTGAGATCACACACATCACTTCAGCTCTAGTGAAGACTTTTTCTTTAGCTGCCTTTTCTCAGGCTCTTATCACCTTGCCCCAGTCTAACCTGGAATAAAAGCACCTACATGAACTGAGCTAGTTTCCTGAGGTCAGCCTGGATCTTGTGTTCCTGTCTGTGTTAGTAAGTCCCTGGTTCATTCACTCCATCCTTACAGGGTGGTATTACTGCTGGGCAACAGTGTTGGCCTCTTTTAAGTATGTCCTTTCCTCCTCACCCATTCCTCAAACCAAGTAGCACAGCTGCCGGGTATTACCCAGGATGTGGCCACACCCCTTCAGACCAGCTGGTTCCATTAGATTTCTAGGAACATATCCCTGTCTGGAAGCAGCAGTACCTCTGTAGAGGGGTGCTAGACTCTGACCTCATGAAGAAGGAAGAGGTTGGGGTAGGATCGGTATTGTGGACATATGTATACCTTCCCAAGTTCTCTCACTGTCCCTGCTAGGGTCCCCTGACTTGTTTTGGTTGGTTCCTAGTGCTACTTTTACAAAATACACTTTGTAGAACTGATTAGGTTACCTTGTTTATTTAATGTGAGTTTGTGCCTTTTTGTCTCAATCTTCCAATACAGCTATATTGGGGAAAAAAGCAGTCTAATAAAATTCTATACAAAGCAAAAAAAAAAAATCAAAATGTGTATAAATTGTTGAATGGAAATTCAATTTACTATTTAAAATTTCAACCAATCCCAATAAAAAGTTAAAATATGTTTATTAATATATATTTGGTATGATACTATTTTCTTTAGCAAATGTGCTTTTAGTTTTTAAAAGTGAGATTAACCTGTAGATGTCTTATGATGCACTTGTCAATTTTTGGAATGAATATAAGCTGGACTTAAATGAATTGGGAAATATTATCTTTACCTGTTCCAAGGAGCCCTGGTGGCATATTGGGTTAAGTGTTGGGTTAATAACTGCACAATCAGTATTTCAAACCCACCAGCAGCTCTGTGGAAGAAAGATGAAGCTGTCTGCTCCCTGAAAGAGTTGCATTCTTAGAGACGCTAGAGACGCGAAGAAGCAGGTCTATTCTACCCTACAAGATCACTAAGAGTGGGAATAGACTTGCTGCTCTACTGCATTTCATTTTAGTTGGTTCCCTGTCCCATGCAATAATGCTAAAAATTATGGCCTTTGGAGTTAGTGAAACCTGAGTTCAAGTCACTTCAAGTCTGGGCTCTGGAATTTACTAACTAGATGACATTGAGCAAATTGCTTAGCTTCTTGAGTCTCAGTTTCTTTATCTGTAAAATAGATATAATATATTATATCTGTAAAATATAATATAATATTTTTATGGATCACATAAAATAGGTAATTTAGAATTAATGTTTAAGAAACATTGGAGAATGGAGAACCTGTTATTAGTAAACAACTAGTTCAGTTACTGAGAAAAGGCAAGCATAATGGAGAGGAAAGACAAAGTGCAAGGGAAAAGTAAAGAAGCAGGACAGGTAATTGACTCCCCCTATTTACCCTTATTTATCTTGCAAATTCCTTTTGTTATGCCCAGTTAGCATAATCTGGGAATTTGAAACGACACTTTGAAGTACAGGGTCTTTCTCTGGACTTAATTTTTTGCACTTTTCTCTAGGGCTACAAATAATCATCTACACTCTGTTCATTATTTCAAAATTTTTGCAACATATGCTTCAAACTCCCTTTCCTCAATCAGCTAAAAAGTAAACAAAAAAGCGTTCATTTTCTTACTCTCTATTTTTGGGATTTTGTTAGCAATTTCCTGCTCAATTTTTTTAGCTTGCATAAGGCCTCCTGCAAGTTCTCACAAGAGCAAGGTTCTCTATCGTAACAAAAAGCAATCCCCTCAAAAGAAAACCAATCCTTCCACGTTTGGGGTTAGGAAAACTTGCAACTTTTCTTTAACCCCTAAAGGCATAGCTCAGTCCCTTAATGCTCAATTCCTGCCACCAGCTAACAGAAAAATCACTACATACTGGTGGTGGTGGTTGTGTGCAGTCGAGTTAGTTCCACTCATAGCAACCCTGTATAGGGTTTCCAAGGCTGTAAATCTTTGTGGTAGCAGAAAGTCTCACCTTTCTTGCTGAGCAGCTGGTGGAGTCAAACTGCTGCTGATCTTGCCATGACATAATGCTGTTGTTAAGTGTGGTTTAGTCTTTCAGACTCATAGCGACCCTGTATAGGGTTTCTCAGGAGCTGCTGGTGGGTTTGAATCACCGACTTTGCTGCAGCGCCACACCTAAACTCACAACGAGTATATCCAACATATAGAGCTTCTCTTTCATGGAAAGTCAGTCCTCTTACGAGTATTTGCATATATTTCTAATCAGGAACTGAAGCGCAGAACTTTTAGGATCCTTGATAAAAGGTCCTTTATTTTAATCTGTCAATTTAATGCTCCCCTTTGCATTTTCTTTTCTTTCTCCTCTTCTCCCTCCCCTAGGGGAGGAAATAGTCAAAAATAAATGTTTCAACAGATCTCGCGGTGCTATTCGAGATTCCCTATTTAAAAAAAAAGAAGAAAGAAAGAAAGAAAGAAAGAAAGAAAGAAAGAAAGAAAGAAAGAAAGAAAGAAAGAAAGAGCAAGAAAGAAATGATGCAAATGAGTCCTTGCCTTCCGTGGTTTGGAGCAAAGAAAGAAAAAGCAAGAAAGAAATGATGCAAATGAGTCCTTGCCTTCCGGGGTTTGGAGCTGAAACTACAGCGCTGCAAGCCAAGAGTAAAAAGCTAGCGAAGGAGGCGTGGCTAGTTCCCTTCCACCTTCCCCCACCTTCCTCTTCCAACCTCAGTTTGGCCCCTAACTAGATTCAAGCCCTTTCCGCAGCTGCTCCGCAACCCTTTCCAGGACCCAACCAACCACAGCTGCAGTTTCCAGGATGGTGATTCGTGTGTATATTGCATCTTCCTCGGGTTCTATGGCGGTAAGGAGGGTGGAGAACCCACTTTTGTTGTTTTCCTACACATCGATTCCCTCAGGTCCCATTAAATTGCAGAAGTTCCTCTGGCAGCTTCTCTTTCTAAAGACTCACGCATCTCTCGCCCCTCCATCCTTCTTCCCTTTGTTGCATAGATTTCATTTTCCCTTGTAGTATAGCACTGTTTGGCTTATGATACTAGAATTATATTTCCACTTGGAAGAAAAAAAGAAAATACCAAAGTTTGGTAGATAGGAAAGTGTGGTGTAGTCTTTAGGGTTAGGTGAAGAAATCAAATAAAATCGCACATTTCAGAAATGCTGAATTTGACCTTTGTGGAGTCCTGGTGTGGCGCTGTGGGTCAATGAGCCAGACTGCAAAGCCATTTGAACTGAAAGGTAGGCAGTTAAAGCTCACCAGTCGCTATGGGTCGGAATCGACTCGACGGCACTTACCAACAACAACTCTAGAAACATAGGCTAGGGGAAAGAGTGCACCATCTGTAAAGGATATAAGTGACATCTGTAACTGATGGTGATTCAGTAGACACCTATTGAGATGTGAATATTTGGGGAAATGTGAGACCCATGCAATAGGTGAGTTATTTTGAGGATGTGTAAGAGAGGGCGTTTATTTGAGGATGTGGCGCTGTGGGCGAATGTGTCAGACTGCAAAGTTGTTTGAACTGCAAAGTCGGTGGTTCAAGCTCACCAGCTGTTCTTGGAAACCCTATACAGGGTCGCTATGAGTCGGATTCTACTCGACAGCATTTAACAACAACAACAGGAGAGAGTGAATAGGACTGGAAGTTGAGAAAAAAACTCAAAACTTTTTTTTTTTTTTACTTGATGTGATAAGAGACCCAAATTATTGTTTTACACATTGTACCTTATTTTGACTTTTTTCTTCTTCTTCCTTCCTATCCTTTCAATAGAGTTTACTTGTAATGGTGCTCGAAATATATTGAGAACTGGAAAGAAAAATAACAAGTAGCTTGTCTAGTGACAGATTGAGTTGCGACTGTATCAATGATACCAATTCACTTGCTCTTAATTTAGAATAACAATTTATAAGAAGGTGTGGGGAGCAATAAGATACACTGGGATGAAAACTTGAGTGTATATTTCTGATAAAAGAAAGTGTCTTTGTTTTTCACAACCCAAGAAAAAGGTCTACAGTGTCAAAGTGTATTTTGTTTAAGATGTAGGATTTAGGAACCCTGTCTCTCTTCTTGCTCATTAGAGCAGCCACCACTCCAATTTTATTGTTGTGTGTTTTTGTTTTCTGGGTTGTTTATTTATCCCTAAGAGGATTTAGAGTGGAGCTGAAGGCTATGTGAAACACTGACCCTTGAACCTTGAATCTCTGGCCACAATTTTGGGTTGTTTTTTGGGGGGTTGTTTTTAGACAGCTTTGAAACAAAATAAAAATTTAGCTGTTTGGAGCAAGTTTAGGTTGAAAAAAAGAAAACTTTGTATTTCCTTTGGTGGTGTTGTTAATTGCTATCAGTTGGTGCAGACTCAGCGACCCTGTATAGTATTTCGGAGACTATAAATCTTTGCTGGAGCAGAAAGCCTCATCTTTCTCTTGAGCATATGGTGTGCTCGAATCCCCAATCTCGTGTTTGCAGTACAGTGCTTATCCAACAGAACTACTGTGATCTCAAGTCCATTATAACAATTGTAAGGTTTCAAAGACTAGCTTAATACTTAAAGTAAAACCCCTAATTAAGCTGTAGGGATCAATAGTTATTTTCTCTTTGAGGAACATGTACTTTCAATACTGCTATTTATTCTTTTCTCCCTCTCCTACCCCTCCCCCCAGAGCACATTTCAGAATAAATTGCTTTCAGAGTTTCTTTTCTAGTAAAAACAACTGCACCACTCCCTTTGTTAAGCCTCACATTTGTAAGAGCCTTAAAATTATTGCTGTTCTTTTATTATTTCCATTATTGGACCCTTATGGAAAACTATGCAAATGGCAAAGGTTTATGGCATTTGTATTTTGTTTCATTGATATTTTTTTCTTGTGAGTTATTTTCTGATTTGTCTATTATTACTGGAATTAGAAATGTTTTAATTCTGTTATCAAAATTCTACTATACATTGATAAAATAATCCTTGTTTTATTATAATCTTACAGTACTTTTAAACTATATAAAGTGAATGTACTTCTTTATAACATAAATAAGATGGTCATTTTTTACTATACAAAGGGAATCGTCAGTTTTCAATATTTAAATTTTCTTTTAAGATTGCTGCTATGTTATTTTCAACACATGATTTAGAATTACAAAAAAAATTTAAAAAACAAACAAGAAATGGGGACATATCTCCTTACAGAAATCTAACAATTATACAAAGTAACATACTTTTATTAGTGACTAAGTGTAGTTTTCTGAGAACATTTAAAATCTTTAGCCTTTGGATTGATAATTTCTGGCTGTTTTCTGACTTCCTATCAGTTGTCAAGGTCCCAATATAGTGCAAATGGTTTGTGCTTGACTGCTAACTTGAAAGTTGCCTGTTTAAACACACTCAGTATTGCCTCAGAAGAAAAGGCCTAGCGATCTGCTTACATTAGGATTAAACCCAAGAGACCCTTATGGAACAGTTTTTGTCTGTAGCTCATAGGGTTGTTATGAGTCCGAATCGGCTTCAAAGCAACTAACAAATATAACACTAACAACAGCACTTTTTTTATAAAAATAGCCAGTAAATAACATTATGGTAAATGGAGAAAAGATTGAAGTTCCCAAAGACTTCATTTTGCAGGGACCCACAGTCAACATTGATGGAAGAAGCAGTCAAGAAATCAAAGGACATATTACATTAAGTAAATCTGATGCAAAAGGCCTCTTTAATGTGTTCAAAAGCAAAGATGTCTGTATGAGGACTAAGGTGTACCTGACAAAAGCCATTTATTTTCAGTCGCCTTATATGAATGTGAAAGCTGGACAATTAATAAGGAAGATAGTAGAAGAATCAATGCATTTGGATTATGGTGTTGGAGAAAAATAGTAAAAGTACCATGGACTTCCAGAAGAATAAACAAATCTGTGTTGGAAGAATTACAACCAGAATGCTCCTTAGAAGTCAGGATGGTGACACTTCATCTCTCATATTTTGGGCATGTTATTAGGAGGGACCAGCCCCTGGAGAAGGACATCATGCTCAATAAAGTGGAGGGTCAGTGAAAAAGAGCAACCCCCCAAGGAAATGGATTGGTATAGTGACAGCAGCAATGGGCTCAAACATAGAATGATGAAAGACTGGGCGGTGTTTTGTTCTGTTGTGCATAGTGTTGCTATGAGTTGAAACAGACTCTGCAGCACTTAACACACCAAGAGTTAGATGTTACATTAAGTATATGAGGATCTTTGACATTGGCAATACATACTAACTTCCCCCCCCCTTTTCCCAAGTCTCCTTGCTCTTCAAAACCAAATTAAATTTTGTGTATTCATGTTGTTATTAGGTGCCATCGAGTTGGTACTGACCCATAGCAACCTTAT